GGGAGAACGTTAATTCCCATTATCTAGTGTCACACACCCTCCTTTCATTAAAAATTATAAAGTAAAACCTAAGTGTATTTTATGGAAAAATATGATTTGCTGAAAAAAAGGTAATTAGTAGACTATTACTACTTCCGGGGCAGTAACTTAACAGAACAGAGTTGAACTAATTTTAAAAAATACTTGATTTACACATGACATAAAAGCGGAGAGAATTCCACTCTTTGACGTAACGATTAACAATTTCTGAGCAATCATTAGCTTTTGCAGATTTCAGATCTCGGCGATCAGTTTAAAATGCGCAGTCAGCCGCCAGCTGACGGTTAAAACTGTGACCAGTTCTGAGCTATAAATCCTATCCAGTAAACTCTCTTACAATTTAATGCTGATTTTTTAGTTTTGCAACGGTTGCCTGGACGCAAACGAATCAGGGGCCTGTTTCTCGAAAGCCCCGGAAACTTTTCGTGCCCGAAAAGCCATTTTTAGTTAATCGGTATTTAAAGACAGAGAGCTGTATACTCCTGAAACTTGTTGTACAGAATGGAACCTCTCTTTATATTAAGAATATGTGAATAAAACAGCTCTGTAATCATAAGGTTTGAGATTTTGCTACGGCTTTTCGCCGGGGTGCGAAAACTTTTGGGGACCATCGAGAAACGGGCCCCAAGTACCGTAAAANATGAAAGCGGAGAGAATTCCACTCTTTGACGTAACGATTAACAATTTCTCAGCAATCATTAGCTTTTGCAGATTTCAGATCTCGGCGATCAGTTTAAAATGCGTCGTCAGCCGCCAGCTGAGGGTTAAAACCGTACTCTGACCAGTTCTGAGCTATGAATCGTATCCAATAAACACTCTTACAATTAAATGCTGATGTTTTAGTTTTGCAACGGTTGCCTGGACGCAAACGAATCAGGGGCCTGTTTCTCGAGAGCCCCGGAAACTTTTCGTGCCCGAAAAGCCATTTTTAGTTAATCAGTATCTAAATACAGAGAGGTGTATACTCCTGAAACTTGTTGTACGGAATGGAACCGCTGTTTTAAGAATATGTGAACAAAACAGCTCTGTAATAATAAGGTTTGAAATTTTGCCACGGCTTTCCGGCTGCGAAAACTTTTGGGGACTTTCGAGAAACGGGCCCCAAGTACCGTAAAACCGCACGTTAAAGCCCTGGGCTTATTTAATTTCATAAGGGGTTTTGGGTGGGCTTATAAATGGGTATAAATGGGGCTTATATACGGGGGGGAGGCATATAAGCGGAATAAAAAAAGATGTTTCGGGACGACGAGATAAAACGTATCTGAGAAACAAATTAAAGCTAACATACCATTACATTTAGAGCTCTTACCCTATTTACCCTATTACGCTATTATTACCCTATTAGCCCATAACTCTCGACTAGAAAGTTTTAATCTTTGTAAAGAAACGCCAAAGGGACGCACTTATACATTAGATGGGCTTATATCCGGGGGGGTATATCCCAAATAGTATCTTTGTAAGCAAATAGAAGGACTTGTATTCGGGCGGGGGCTTATAACCGGGGGGCGAGCTTTCACATGAGATTTTACGGTAAACAGTCTCGCCTTATTTCCCACGCGGGAAGACGGAATTAGTAAAGGTTATTGGCCAACCTGAAACTGGCCATTTTGTAATAATAAAAAGAACGATAACTAAGTTAAACGTTTCTGTTTCCAATATTTTCAGGGAGAAGTGGAAGTCGAAGATATTAAAAAATTCAAGGCCGTGCTAATGGAATCTTTTGACACCAATAAAGATGGAAAGATTGGGAAAGACGAGCTAAAACTATTGCTCGTTGCACAGAAGTCCTAAGAGACAATTTCGTCCACTAAACCTTGTAATAATACGATAAGTAAAGATAAATATAGCTGTTCAACTTTCTGCATGGCGTAGATATTAATTAATTACTAGTTTAATAAAGTGTTTTGGTTTTGGCCGACCAATTTGTGTATCGAATTTTTATCTATCTCATAGCCATCCACTCAACCATTGAGTAAACCAACCAAACTGAATCGATAAACGAAATAACCAACTCAGGGATCAACCAACCCACCACTAACGTACCAACCAACTGACCAACCAATCAACCACACCCCCACCCACCCAACCGACCGACCAACCAACCAG